ATCAAATCCATCAGCTGCTCCTTGGAAATTCCATACATGATCACTATGAGTTGGAACTGACTAGATGGCTCTTAACAACAACATATATACCAGCTACCTCTCAGAAACCCTAAACAAAGTCTTTGAGTCAGAATGACTCCATAGTGCTTAACAACAACAAATACATATACACATATAATGTCTACCTAGGAGCTCATGACCAAATGTAAGAAACACAGATAGAAGACAAATATCTACACATTAAAAGAAAGGCTATGGTATTGGTAAGTTATATGATAATAAAAAAAGTAGACATCCAAGAAGACATAGTCACTGAACTGAGTCCTCAAAATTATTCAGGAAGTTTTCAAGAAAAGAAAGAAATATATACACAAAAAGTCATAGAGATATGAAACAGTTTGGTGTATGGATGGATGGATGGCAGGTTCAAGAAGCTGGAGCACAGGATTCACAGTAGAAATTGACAAAGATTAAAGTAGACAAGGAGATTGGAATCTGCTGTGACATTCTACGGATTTTTCTGATTGGTGGAACAAGAAACAAATTTATAGAGGAGGTAACATATAGAGGCTAGTTTTAAAGACTCTAAATTGGAATAATCTAGAAATAAAAGATTGAGGTAGGGAGACAAGTTAAAGTACTACTGCAATCTGGAAAAGATGATGAGAACCTGGAATAGGACAGTATTAAGAAGACAAGACAAATATGAAAGGTATTTCTCAGTTATACTTAGAAAATTTTAGTGACCACCAAAACTACTGAAATGAGAAAGAAGTATGATTCTAGCTGAGGATTACCCTAACAAATAGAAAAGATTACAATGAACCTAGCCAGGGACGACAGACTAGGAAAGAAAGTGTTCAATGAACTATAAAACATTAATTAATCATCAGCTATTATTCAATAGTAATATACTCAAAGAGTTCTGGTGTGGCGCTGTGGACGAATGCGTCAGACAGCAAAGTCATCTGAACTGCAAGGTCGATGGTTCAAGCTCACCAGCTGCTCCTTGGAAACCCTATACAGGGTCGCTATAGGTCAGAATCGACTCGACGGCACTTAATAACAACAATATACTGCAACTTATGATCATCATCCTTTTGTCCAATAAGCAAACGAAAACTAAGATTTTAAAATTAAAATAAATTGAATATATAGTTACCTCATAGCAAGCATCAGAGTCTAGACATGTGTAAACATTCTGCTGCATGGCTAACATATCTTGTAGCAAGGTTCTCCAATGAGACTCATTCACAGGGGGCTGCCTGGGGAGGTGGGAAGAAGAAAAATAATTCATTAACTCTCTCTTTTCAAGTTCTGGTGTGGCACTGTAGGATGAACACTAGACCAAAAGGTCAATTTGAAATGCAAGATCAGCAGTTCAAACCCACCAGTCATTCCTTACAAACCCTATACAGGTTCGTTATGAGTCAGAACTGACTCAATGGCACTTAACAACAATAAAATTAGTACCAGTGTTCTTTATGCATATAATGATATGTCTCATTGTATTTCTGAGGGAAAAAAAATGTGATTAAAAAGAGAAGGTATATGTTAGTTACCCAGTGTTGCTATGACAGAAATATCGAAAGAATGTGGCTTTAACAAACACATTTTTTTTTCATGGTTAAAGAGGCTAAAATTTGAATTCAGGGTGTTCGGCTCTAGGGGAAGGCATCCTCTCCCTGTTGACTTTGGAGCAATGTTCTTGTCAATTCTGAGCTTCTACTCCTAGACAACCTTCTTGACCCATCTCTGCTTTTGTCACTCTCTTCTTCTATTTCTTTTACACCTCTAAAGAGATGAGCAAAAGACACACCTCCCGCTAATCCTGCCTCATATACGTTACAAGGAAAGCCCTTTTCCAAATGGAATTATAGCCACAGGTATATAAGTTTTTCCAACACATTTTTTGAGGACACAAACTCACGGTTCAAAACTTACCAGCCACTTCTCAGAAACCCTATACAGGATTGCTATGAGTCAGAACCAACTCAATAGCACTTAACAACAACAACACATGATCAAGAGTGAGTGGACTGTGATCTACAAGGTCAGCAGTACAAACCCTTCAGCTGCTCCTTGGAAACCCAATACGAAGTTGCTATGAGTCAAAACTGACTCAACAGCACTTAACAACAACATTTCATTCCATAACAGACTGAAAAGTTGGGTAGTTATGCAGCAATAAAAAAAAGGTGCCAAACCTTTCTCTGGCATGGGCTGCTTACACACAATGTTAGAAGAGTATTAAATGGTAATGGCAAAGGTAAATTTCTAAGGTATGGTGCTGTAGGACAAGCACTGGACTGCAAGGTTGGTTTGAACGAGGTCGGCAATTCAAACTCACCAGCTACTCCTTGTAAACAGTATACAGCATTGCTATGAGTCAGAAGTGATTAAACTGTACTTATCAACAACAACAAAAGTAAAATACTGCATAGCAAGATAAAACAGATAAGATATAGCAGAAAATATTCTTGACCACAGGAGAATTTATTTCAGATTCAATCATTATGACTCTACAATGCCCACAAGGGGTCTTATTAAAATCAACTAAGCAGTCAGACTCATAAGGCCATAATAGGCCATGTTGCTGTTGTTCTGACACATAGCAACCCTGTATAGGGTTTCCAAGGAGTGGCAGTTGAGTTTGAACTGCTGACCCTGCGAGGTTCAAACCAAATTTGCAGTCAGTGCATTGGTCTACAGCACCAAGCCAAGAATGCAATAGAAGAATTGTTGTTGTTGTTGTTGTGAAGTGTTGTCGAGTAGATTCTGACCCATAGCGACCCTGTACAGGGTTTCCGAGGCTATAAATCTTTACAGGAGCAGAAAGCCTCATCTTTCTCCTGCAGAACAGCTGGTAGTTTCGAACTGCTGACCTTAAGGTTCACAGCCCAATTCGTAACCACTACAATACCAGAGCAGGTACTTGCAAGTTGGCATTAATTTACAAATCAAGAACTAGAACTACAGTGTCCCAGCAGGGAAGTATCGGTTGTTTCTTTCAGCTGGTGTTCTTATAGCCATCTACAAGCACAGAGTCCATACAGCATTCTAGGAGTTGTCTTCTCAGGTGCAGGAAAACACACAGGGCAACAGAGAGAGTGTGTGCCAGAAATGCCATTTCATGCTTAAGAAGATGCCTCATTTCTTACAGGTGGGTATATATGCAGATACATAAACATATACTATATATATATGCTCTGGTCACGTAATGGTTACGAATTGGGCTGCTAACCTCAAGATCGGGAGTTCGAAACTACCAGCTGTTCCGCGAGAGAAAGATGAGGTTTTCTATTCCCGTAAAGATTTGCAGCCTCGGAAACCCTGTGCAGGTTCACTATGAGTTGGAACTGACTCCACGGTACTCAACAACAACATGCATATATTTATACACATATATAGTATATATGTAAATATATATGCATGTGTTTAATAGACATTCTTTAATAATACGAAGTTTACTTCAACTTATAGAATATTTTATTCATTCTATGCATAAGGTGACTGTACAGTATGAGACCAAAAGTTGAATACACTTCATTTTCCTCTCATTGCTCACTCTAAAATGTTATTTATTAATAATGAATAACAAACTAACAGCTGACCCTTCTACCGAGAGGCTAGGCTCAGTTTTTGTTACACACATACTCATTGCTCATATAAGCTTAACTTTCTTTCTTTCAGAATCCAGTCTTCTCTCATTTATCCCCAGAATCCCAATGGAAGAAAGATGAGGCTGTCTACTGCTGTAAAAATTTAGTCTTCGTAAAATTATAAAGGGTCTGTAAGTCAGAATCAACTTGATAGCAGTGGGCTTCTATTTTCTTATGGCATCTTATATTAATTACAGGGAAAGAACCATTGCTCCTGCTTCATAGACCAAAAAAAGTAGGGGGAGGACACATTTTTTTAATATGCATATACATAACAAATTGTCATATTATATTTGCAAGTACTCCAGGATAACCCACGAAATGCTTCAATTATTTAAGGAACCCGTTTAATAGGCTTCACAGAAATGAAAGGCTTTTCCAGTTTCAGCTTTCAAGCTACTTTCAAGTAGCAGAAAATTTTTGAAGTGAGTCCTCATCTTAAACCAGTCTGACAAAATCAGAACTAAACATTGCCTAGCTGAATTCAAGATCTCACATTACAACTGCTCTTCTAAAAGCCATGAATATTATCAACAGACAGAATCAGTGTTTTCTCATACATGGCTAATTAACATAATTCATGACATTATTTATAAAGTCACTGACAAAATACAGTCAATAAAAGTGAACCATGAGAGATGTGGCTTGATGGTAGATTAGGGAGAAGAACCATGCAGACCTGCACCAGTAATAAGAGAGAATACCAGATGAAGAAGATTCAAGGGATGGTCCTAGAATTCTGAACTACATATAAAGGTATATTTAGAAGAACTGAAGGCTTACTGCTAGTGGGATTTGTAGCCGAAGCAATAAAGGTGGTGCTTTCTGATCTGCGGTTGCCAGTGGATCCCAAAATGGCCATCTTGAGTGGGAGAGAGTGGAAGAAGGATCAGGAAGCATTCCCACCAAAGGAGTCTGGCCAATCCTTGGAGATAAAGGTGTGAACATTTTATTTCCAGGTCATTTGAGGGGGTGCCTGAGTGAGAGGACTTATCCCAACCACTGGAGGGTTCAACTATACATGCACATACATCTGCTCAGCAAAGACACTGAGTACAGAATCAAAGCAGGGGAAGGAGTCTACAGAAATAGCCTAAAATGGGAGGGTTTTCCAAAAATGGCTCTGGCTAGCCCTGGGCGGTTTCTCACTAGGATAGAAACCTGAATGGGCTTGGGGAGTGCTGTTGTTGTTGTTGCTAAGTGCTGTCATGTCAGTGCCAACCCATAGCGACCCTGTATAGGGTTTCCAAGGAGCAACTGGTGAGCTTGAACCACAGACTGGGGAGTGGTAGGGAGGCAGAAAACAATAAAGGTCAAAAACCAAATCTTCAATTACGTCATAAGGACCAACTGTAACATCCTGAAATTTTTCAGTTGGCCTTCAAGGCAAGCCGAAAAAGGGACATTAAAGTCTTACTTATATTTTGCTATGACGTTTTTTGGTTTTGTGACGATTACAGACTTCAGTGTCCTGTATTTCTGTTTGTTTTTTCTTGTTCTGTTTGCTCTGTTTTTTGTTTTAATTTCATTGTTTGCTTGTTTTGGTCTTCCATTAACCTTGGAGGGAGTGCTCATTTTCTCCCTACTTACCAAAGAGGAAACAGCAATTATGATCATATAGCCAAGCTACAATCGCACCCTATAAAATACAAGCTAGAGCCAATACTAGCTGCTATACACCAGAGAGAGCCAACACTTGCTAAAATTACTCTAAATTGAGTAAGAAGAGAAGTGAAAAGGGAAGCCCATCACCTGATCACACATACCAGGAGGCAATCAGAAAGATTAATAATACATCAACACACATTCATCTAATAATTGAAAATGCATCTAAATATTGAAAATGGCCCAAATATAACAGACGATCTCAGCTTATCTCCAGAAACAAGACAGAGTAGCTGAAACAAATAAGCTGGAAATAGACCCAGATTTCCCACTGGAAGGAAGGCAGGTTTTGGACTGCCTGAGAAGGAATTCAGGAGAATGATATTGAGATGCATCAAAATGCTCTACAGACAGGTTGACAAAAATAAGGAAGAAGTCAAGAAAGTGCTACAGGAACAATCAAATAAGATAGACATAGCGTTGGAAACA